AGTTGCTTATTTATAATTTTGTATGCCCTAGTGCTAGCTCACTTGATTTCCAAATGGTTTGCAGTTTCTCTTGTAGGTATTCTGTCAATTATTCATTTGTATTTTTCAGGTGAAACATTCATGGAGACACACAATCGTATCTTGAAAGAAAAAGAACTTAAAATAAGGAATGCCCTGGAGAAACTAAGAAGAAAAAGATCTTTACTTAGAAATCAGCGCAGAAAATGCGAGTTTCCGATTATCTCAGTAATGGGCTATACTAACTGTGGTAAGAAAAAACTCATGAAGTTGTAACACAAAAGAGCTTACATTGTCCATTTTTTAATTAGGAACTCTAGCCAGAATCTCATTTCAGTGTGAATAGACTTCGTTATTTTAATTAGTTCTTAAATTGTCTAATGAATATATGTCAATTAGGATATAGTTAGGAAAGTAAATTATGCCTGGTTTAGTTTGGTTTTTTTTCCAGTCTTTGAAGCCATGTTTTGGAGAAATGTCCAGCACTTATCGTGCCGGAAAGATTTTATATATAGTGGTGAAGACTGCACTGTTAATGTCCCTTTATATGAATCTCTGTTACTTGATAAGAATGGGTAGGGAAAAGTACGTGGGTTTTAGATCACTATGAAGGATTGAGGCATAGGAGGAAGATTCAGGAGAGTTGGCAGTTGATCTGAGAAATGTACTTAAGAAGCATTGTAGCTTTTCATTGACTGATGTATAGTGTTCTGAGTTGTGTTCATAAGAGGACCTAAATAAAGCTGAAGAGTTTTTTCTATTCTTTCTTTCATAGCTTACAGAAGTGAATTCATACACAAAACAAAAATAGACTTTGGACTAGACACTTTTTTCAGGTTACATTATCTTAAGACCATTTCATTTTCTTATTCAACATCTTTATAAAAACAAATTTACCTTGCACTAATTTTGTTATCAGTTATATGCTCAAAGATCACACGGCATGTTTTTCTTAAATGTCTTACTTCCATGGTTTTAAAACTGGGGATTCAACAAAATATGTTAAAATTTTGTACACATAACTGAAATAGTTTAACTAGGGTATATACAGAGCACTTTAATAACTAAATTCTGTGAAATATTCATTGAGTTAAATAAATGTCTCTAGTATTATGCTCATGAGGAAATGCCCAATAAAACCATAAACCTAATAAGCTATATATTATTAGTACTTCCATTTATTGTTGGATTTAACAAGTGAATATTGAATTATTTGACCACAGAAGCACTGAGGAATGCATAAGTGTATGCTTCCTCATGCTGTCATGGCAGCACTCTTCAGATAGTCTTAGAGGTGAGAAATGTGGGTAGGCCACTTTACAGGTCAGTTCAGTCTTTGATCATCTTGTGATTTCACAGCATGACTTCCAGATGTGGCCTTAAATCCAATTCCAAGGTATAAATGTTAAGACTGTCTTTGGATTTCCTAACATCATATAGATAACTAAGCATAGGCTAGATTTAAATTAGTGAAATAGATAGGAAAAGGTATACTACATCATACAACTCACCTGAGCCTTGCAAATTACATTTTTACTTGAAAAAAGCCATTAAAATGATGTCCTTTTTTTCTCTAATTAGGAAAAACTACCTTGATCAAAGCCTTGACGGGGGAAGCAGGACTTCAACCCAGAGATCAGCTGTTTGCCACTCTTGATATTACAGCCCATGCTGGCTATCTGCCCTCGCATATGGAAGTTATTTATGTTGACACCATTGGGTTTCTGACTGATCTTCCACATAATCTGGTTGAGTCCTTTTCAGCTACATTAGAAGAAGTAGCTTACTCAGTAAGTAGTTGACTATAAAAATTGATAAATCAAATTTCCTTTTAGATAATCTTCACCCCTTCATTAAAGGGGAAGCTCATTGGCATGCTGCTCTTAGTGAAGTATCTGGCTGACTATAGTAGTTTTCTAAGATAATGAGGTAAATAGCTCACCATAAACCAATTTTCTGATACCTGAAATTATGCAGAACATATAGATATGAAGAGATCTCAGAAAGGGTTTATTTGGAGTATACGTGTCCTTCTCCAACCTCTGGCATGACCTGTTTCTAACTTAAGGTTTCCTATAGATCTAAAAGTGGGTGATTGTGATGTGATGCAGGCAGCATGTAATAAACAAATGTACTTTTCCAATCATTTTCTCACTAAAGTTAGTTTCCTGTGTTACGGCAAGGTGTAAAGCTGCATACACACAGACATTTAAACAAAAAGCCTGTATCATTAAACATCATGAAGTTCAGCAGTAGCTAGATGTCAGAATGCTTCTGAGGATTAGACTTCACCATGTAACAGGACTTTCAAAATTTGGTTGCAACTATCCTGTTTGTCTCTTATTCTGAAGTTGTTAAATCAAAGGCAAGAAATTTACTTCTCATTAATTATCAGAAGTTTGAAGCAGTATCTTGAGCAAAGATGATTAAACATTTTGAATGCAAATACTGAATTTGGTTGCTTGGTTTTTATCATGGCAGACATGATTGTGTATGTATTTGAAAGGAATAACTTTTGTTTAAAACTTTTTCAGTGAAGCAACAGTAATATCAGGAGCTGAGTACAAGGATAATTTCTGCATTTTGAATGGAAAATAGCATTACAAGTTACATGGAGTTTTTTTCTCCCATTTTTGAAACAGTTTTTCAGCTATTACTCTTCTAAAACCTTTTTAGAGTTCACTCTTTTTCAGTATTTCTGAAGCCTTGTTGTTACACAGCCTTGACTTTGAAAAAATCAGTTATTATTTGAAATCTGAATGCTGTAACTAGCTTGATTGACAGGTTTTGTTTCAGGGTTGTTGGGGGCAATTCATATTCACTGTGTAGTGAGATTAAGCTGCTACAGATTTTCTTCCATCATGGTGCAAAACCCAGTATTGATTTAATACTCTTTTACGGTGTTACCCTGACCATTTCCTAATGGGTAGGAAATTATCTTACAGGAATTAGCAATGCAAAAAAGGTATAAAATCTCTACAACCTGGCAACTGATGTGTTTCATTAAGTAACTGTCTTGTATATTGATGCTTGCTAGGATCTGATAGTTCATGTGAGGGATATTACTCATCCAGAAACCATCCTCCAGAAAGCAACTGTTCTGTCAGTTCTGAAGAATCTTAATATTCCCAGCCATTTATTGGACTCAATGGTAGAAGTCCATAACAAAGTGGATTTGATAGAAAGGTAAGCAGGAAATACTAAATCTACTTAAACATTTCTTAGGTTCTGGAAGTTTTTTAATTCTTAGTCTAGGAAAGAGCTCCCACACTTCTGAGTACAGTGTTTCTCAATATTCTATATATGTAACTATGGTCTGAACAAAAGTTAATTATCTCTTAGTTACAAAACAAATCACTTGAGTCATACAAGAAGTGGCCTCTGTAAGGAAGGTGCCAGTATAAAGTAACACAGTTAAATTGTTCATGTTTGGAATATTTTCACAACCTAATCTTCAGGAGCAAATGTGCTAGCAGTTGTTACCTTTCAGGTATAAACCCACTGAAGAAAATGCTATAGCCATTTCTGCTCTACAAGGACATGGTTTAGAAGAGCTGAAAGAAGAAATAGAGAAAAAAATTTTGACAGTAACAGGGAAGAAGATTCTGACAGTTAACATCCACTTAGAAGGAGCTCAGCTAAGGTAAATAATTTGGAATTGTAAGAAGGAGAAAGATGAAACTCTTAGTCTTGCATGTCTTAAAATTTCCAAATCATGTCGTACTGATTTTAATCTGCATTAAGAATTACAGGGGCAATTATCTAATTTTCCTGACCTACTGAGAAAAAATATCCCCATTAGATACCCTGGAGTCTCCTTCTGAAAGTGTCCTTCAGAGAGTTCTGTGTGTTAGTACAATAAAATATATTTCCTGAAAGACCATGCCACTGGTTCTGGAGCCAGATTTCTGATAAAAACAAATCTGAAAGATTTATGAAAATGCTATACCCTATTTCCAAACAGCAAGTAGCAAATAAAAAGCTAAGCGAAGCACTTGATCTTCTAAAGTGTTAAAATACCTAGATTGGAACATGTTGACCTAAAACAAAGATCACACTTCATGCAGCATGTCATATTTTCAAGATGTTAATATGCTTTTATTTTTACAGTTGGCTCTATAAGGAAGCAACCGTTCAGGAAGTAGAAGTCATGCCTGAAGATGGCACAGCCAGGGTGAAGGTGATAATCAGCAATTCTGCTTTTGGCAAATACAAAAACCTCTTTCCCAACAGTAAGATTTTTAAGCCATGAAACTCCATCCTTTTCCAGGAAAAGAAACTGATCTCGTTAACAGTATGTGAAATAAAGTTAATGACCTGTTAGTCTAGGTGCTGAAGAGTGTATTTCTTCCCCAGTTGATGTTTTTGATGCATTTTAGAAATGGACACTGTTTCAGAAAACGTCTGTTTGGAAGCAGAGAGCTCTGAGCTTCATTCTGTTAGCAAGTGCAAGGACAGCACTAAATTTTTAATGTTAAAACAGTTGTTGGCTATGAGCTGTAGACCTCAAACCCATGGAAATCACGGGATAACATCTGAATTAACCTTCCGAAGAGTACCAAGTTTCTTCTATCATATAAATAAAGCTTTTTACCCCATTTTTCAGAATAAAATAATACTTAATGTAGTTAAGGTGTCTCAAATGGTCCTTGGAAAATGGAAGTTAGTGAACAAAATGTTGTTGGCTGTATGTAAATAATACAGATAAATGTGTATTCAAGCAGAATGCATGAGCCTAAGTAAAATAACTGCTACATCTTACTGCAGTGAAGGAAATAGAAGATAGATTTGTATATTTAAGCAATAATTAAAGTTAGCTATGACCAGCTTTTACCCGTACAGTTTTATTGGCTACAGCAATTTATCCACGAGCCTGTTAATGTCTCAGTTCTTAGAGAAAACATTTAAGATACAGCAAAACATGGATTTTGTGTGAAATTGTTTCACAAACTAAAAAAAAAAAAACCACCCTGAAACCTGATCCATTTTGAGTTATGAATTACTACTGGGAACCAATAAAACAATCAGTATCACAGAAAGGAGGAGTAAAACTATTTCAGTCCGTATTACACAGAGAGATCAAGTTTTATTGAACAGAGTAACAAGCCACTTGAGGGTAGCAAAGACAGGCAGAAAAACATTCCAAGTATGTATAACATAACACTTCATGCAGGTAGTTACCCTAAAAGAAAAATCAAAACTGAATGACTGCTCAGTATGAAGTACATAGAGGTAAGAACAAGGATGAAAAGCACTGTAAAAAAGCATTTAGAAAGTCTTCCTTATAAATGGAATGGTTAATGGTTTACTCCTACATATTCTGCAATTGCAAGAGATTGCATGACGAGGTAGCATTGTAGCCTTTCACACTGAGAAGTCTAGGGTGAGTGTGATCTGATGTCAAGTAGCAGTTGATTTAAAACTTCTGCAAACACCCTCTGCGAACGTTAATATCTCGCAAGACATGTGAACTCAGCTTTTGCATATAAAGTGCATCTAAAAAGTGAGGTAGATTGACGAAGCTGCATAGTGAACTTTTCACAATGCCTGGTTTTGTTTTAGTACCGCTGCTTGCCATTTCTCTTACCTTCATGATCATCTGTAATTGCACAGTTCTTTTTTAAAAAATTTAGAATAGGATTAATATGTGATGGCAAACAGCATAAACCTCTTAGTTTTTACATAAGCAAAAACTACTTACTGAGACAAAAAATAATTATAGACCTACTAAAGTAGCTAAAAAAAAGACCAGATGTGAAACCCCGAATGAGCACGACAGAAGCCAAGAATCTGTACTTCTAGAGCAGTCTCAGTTTAGATAAGGAATTTGTTTCAGATGTGTTTATTTTCAATGTAAGGCACATTTGGCAACACCTAGTAAAACATATTTCATTACCATAGACAAAACTGTCTAGGGGCCTAGTTTTGGTATCTATTACTGCAGAACTGGCACAAGCGATAAAAAGAGTAAGTGTTCAAACAGATCATAAGGAATTTTATGACTACTCTGTTGGTAAAGGGGCTCATAACTGATACTCAGCACACAACAACAGTACAGCTGCTTCTAGATCTCCAATGTTAATGATATATTGCTGTATATATAGAAATCATGTCAAATGGAATCGCCAATACAGTATCTTTGATGTATCAAAAAATATTTTTAAACTGTTCCTTTTGTATATTTTAACACAAACTGAAAACAGATAAGTCAGTGTCACACTGATAGAAAAGACTGAGAATTGGAGTCGCAAGTACTGCAGAAAATCTTTACAATTATAAGAAAGATAAAATCTTAGAATAATTCATGCAGCTACTGACATATTTCTCCTTCTTTCTTGCTCATATGTAAAATAAAATAAGATTAAGTTCTTGGGACTTTCAATATTGCCAACTGCTACAGAATCCTAGTGCATCCAAGTGAATTATACTATAGGTCTCTAGAGACTTCAGCAAGGTCTGCTTGCTCTCTTTTCTGTGAAAAGGCCTTGAAACCCAGATGGTGTCAAGAGCACTTTTCTTACTGAGTCTTTAGAACATCCCTGGTTTAACCGAACCTTTATGGGATCCAGGATGTTTAAACTGGTTTACATTAAATGCAGACAAAGCCTTTTCAGCTTCTCACAGATGAAGCAGCTGAGAATTAAATGCTCTTTGTTCCAGCCCCTTTACTTTGACAGTGTAATGGAGGATTAATTTTTGTGTTAAGTTCTATCACATCATTGACAAAATCATCATTTCCTATGAAGTCTCCAGCAATTATGTTAATACATTCTTTTTTTGGTCCTGGATACTGCTGCTTTATCCAGATTTTCAAGCATGGAAGACTCTGGAGTGTCATTTTCTTCAGTGATCCGAATGGGTGTACAAGAATATACCTTAAATTTTCAGTAAGGTTAATCCCCGCTACAAAGAATTTCTCTGAAACAAAAATCAGGTGACACATTAAATACTCCTTTGGGAACAGAAACTTCTCAGTACTGCATTAACTCCAGAACTCCTTGCTCTGGGAATCATTAAAATACTAACTTCACAATCTCTTTGTATTGTTTCATATCCCTAGAACTGTTTTGATAGACTGTCTCCCCTTGTTGCAGATGCATGCTGGAGTAAACAGTTACTGAACCAAGCTGTTACTGAACCATTCCAGTTTAGTTAAATTTGTCTAAATTATTCAGTGCAGACTACAGGTTCTCCACTAACTAGTCCTCCATTATAAACAATGTTTTTTACTGCAGGAGTTGCTTCCAAATGCTTAGTCTTCCCCCGTATGGGTACACAGGGTGCAGCTACACCAGCTGAAGCAGTTCTCCCTTTTGTCACCCCACGCACTCACAGCACAGAGCTGCGTCAGAGGTCGTGAACTGAATTTCTTTCAGCTCAGACTACGCCAGCATGCCTGAGTGCTGCTATTTCCTGAGGTAGCTACAGCCTTCACACACCATTCATGTAGGGGTTTCTTTTCACAACAAGGCTAGCATAATGCATTTCCCTCATCATCAGTGCTGCCTAAAGCAGCAAGCTCTGGACTGAGGAAGCACTCTCCTACTCGCAAGACAGGCATGACGGTCCCAGTGAGCAGGTCTGTGCTGAGGGCTGCTATTCCACGGGATCACGCAAGTGAAGGGGCTGCCACAATTTATATAGTCTATGCATGTACATACACTGACGCATGTATTTGCACCACCAAAGATGAACGGTGCACTCGCCCATGGGTGGGCAGGGCACTCAGCAACATGAGTGCGTCCTGTGCACACAGCACACACAAAGTGGTTATCTCCCGTAACGCTATGGTCACCCAACTTCCTACTTGGTTTGCATTGCCATACACGTCCCTTGTTTTCTCCAAGCGACTCCCTGTGCCTACCTGGACGGCCCATCCGCTTCATGCGCTCTAAATACTGAATAAGAGCACGAGTGGAAGTTTTGTTTCCCCACCAGTATGGAATTGCAGGCCACAGCTCACAGTGCTCCTCCACTTCCACGTCCTCTTCGTACGAGACTATAACCTGGTGGCCATGCTGCCACATGGTCCGCAGTGTCGGTACCACCTAAGAGAAAGCATGCCCAGGTTGAAATCAACGACACAGCAGTGTTCCCAAAGTTCAAATACTGATGTGTGACATCACCTTGGTAGAGAGGCACAGATTCACTTTAAAGAAAGCTTTTAAGCATACAGCCCAGTAGGTTATTGGCTGGATTACAAACTGCAGGTGCAATAGGAGCCTGGGAACTTCAGCAGATTCCTCCTTGCCTCAAACAATTCAACTACATTTAAGTACCTAACTCAAGGTCTTAACACCTGTGTAGCAAGAAACCATCCCCATATCAGTTCTCGTGCACATATCACTACTGAAGATTTCTTGGGAAAGGAAATTTGGTGGAAGGGGATAGGAGGGAGGCAAAGCCCTACACCCAGCTGTAGGAATACAGACACAGAGAAGCAGGAATAATTTTGGCAAAAGCCCCACATTTCTCATGGTAGCCATCAAAGAACATTGAACTGCTTAAGATTTTGTATGACTAAATGTAAGTCTTCAAGAAGTATGTTAATTTTGATTTCTTTAAATAGAAAGTTTATTAAATAGATGCTCCAGACATTTTGAATTGAGAGAGGGGAAGACTTCAGTCAGGAACCTTCTCAGACAGACAGATGGGCTGAACCAGGTCTGTTAAGTGTTTCAATATGAAATAACATTTTCCAATCCTCAAGAGTTACTATCGGACAGAACTGAGACCCTCTGACTAGTTTTATTTGTAAAACCAACATATTTAACAGGTATTGTGTTTTTTTAAGAATGTTGTGTTAAGAATGTTAAAAGCTCTGTGTGTTGCTTGTGAAAACAAAATGGTGGCTTTTTCATGTTCCAATTAACTTATTAAAATAAAAGCCAAAGGCAGTTGAAAATACCTTATGTAAATCTTTGAAAAGAGCCAAGTGTTGAGCAATCATCAAAATCCCTCTTCCTTTGTCCAGGAAAGAGAGAGTGCAAGTCTCATTTAAGTCAGAAAATACTGCAAAATTAAGACACAAGCTACTCAAACTACAAAAATCTGTGACTGACAGAAGCCTTTTCTTTACTACAGTTGCCTTTCTAAAGCTGAAGCCTCTGGAAAAAAAAAAAGAAAAAAAAAAGGGGGGGGG